TCTCCAAAATTACTATCACATTTAATTTTTTTTTAGATTTATTCCTATTATTTTATGTGTATGCATTTTGGCCTGCATGTATATTGTGCATCTCATGCGTGCCTGGTGCCTTAGTGCCGAGGAGATGATGAGCCTTCATGTGGGTGCTGGGAGTCAAACCTGGGTCCTTTACAGTAATAAGCGCTCTTACCCACTGAGCCAACTCTTCAGCCCGTACCATTGCCTTTTTCAATTCTAGGATCACACTCTCAGTGAGCAGCTCATGGTGTACTCTGCCCTGCCTGCATGCGGCAGTTCCTTTCTCCTGTGTCTAAGTAGAGGTCTCCATGGAACACAGGTGTAAGAGTCAGGTGGGAATGTGGGAAATGCCCTTTTTACTGCTCCTTTAGACTAGTTGGAGAGCACGCATTTAAGATGCTGCCGAAAGGGTCTGCTCACCCTCAGCTGTAGGTAGGGACAGCCGCAAATCATAAAGAGCATCGCTCACTTGATAGTCCTCTGCCAGGAGCTGCCAACTCTTTGCCCATGTGTCTACTGTAGCCCACAGTGTGTTGTGTGCGAGTGGAGATATCTCAGAGGAGGAGAAAGAGCCCAGCACATCTCTCCATTTCTCCTGCTCTTCCCGACTCACCAATAAGACAATTCCAGCAAGAGAGATGGGAGTGCTAATTCATTGTAGTTGTCTAAACGGAAACCCAAGAGTGGGGAAAGGAGATTCCCCTAATGTGTGTGTGGATACCCCTTGTCTTTCTGAATTAACATTTGAAGCCACTCCTGTACACTTAACCCCTTTGATTATAAGAACATGCTGTAATAATGAGAAACCATTTATGGGGGACAGTGTGGCCCCCAGAAGGGAAAGGATGACACCTAATGTCACAAGTTAAAGTGGGGATAGGTTGAAAAATATGGCTACTGAGAACACTTAGCATCATATCATTATCCCCTTTTTTCTGGTTTAATATTTTATTCTCAAATAAATATCTATGCATTAAAGCGAGGCTTGGTGGCACACCTTTAATCCCAGCCCTCAGAAGGCAGAGGCAGGTGGACGTCTGTGGTTTTCAGGCCAGCCTGTGCTATACAGCAAGTTCTGGGACAGGACAGGGTCACACAGAGAGACCCTGTCTAAAACAAACAGAAAGCCAGTTAATGTTTATGTATTGAAATGCACGTTGATATCACAAAAGCTGTCTGCATTGACGTCCATTTGTGTAGGAGGATCGGCAGACCCTGTTTCTCTGTAAACCTTACCTGTTGTTGGGAGGTCCGGGGAGCTGGCAAGTTTTCCTGAGGATGACACATGCTTCCGTACATTCCCACAGCTGTACTGAATCTGCGCATGTCACTTGTGCTTATTAACTGTGTAATTTGATTACTGTATAAAACAATGGAATATGAGTGAAAACAGGAAACTATCTCAGGAAAGAGAAACATTTCAAGTCTTTGATAAATCATACAAAGGAAAGTTTGCTAAACGTGCCCACAGCTCAGTTAGGCATGAGTGAGATAACCCTAAAAGATCGTGGAACACCCTGAAAAGCTAGGGTTCTTTATTCTAAGTGCTTTGTTGGTGGTATTAAATTCTTGCTTCGGCTTAAACTAGAACTAGATGACAACATGTGTTGTGGGTTTGGATTATCTGAGAGAAATAATGCCCTGCACCTGACCTTGGGCAAGAGGATTCCTTTTGGGAGTAAACCGTATACTCGACACAAAATGGTCAGGACTGAAAAGAACCAAAGTCTAAACAGGTGGATGAGTGTTGCTCTCTGACACACTTGCTCAGCCACAGTCAGAAAAATTAATCAGAAGCAGTGGTAGAAATAGGGGGAGAAGCAAGATAAAGAGGCAAAGCAGGAATGTAAAAGCATAAGGACCGTGAAAACCAGGTCATCCGGGACTTTGGGGTGCTAATTTTTTGGCCTCAGGGTGCAGTCTCTTTTATCCTAGGGCAGGGATGGCTCTAAAAAGGATGCTTTGGGTCAACATCCAGTACCTTTGGATGCTTGAATCCCCCCACCCCCGCTTCTCCGATTCTTATTACCTCCTTTGTAGCATCCGATTGCTTATAATTTGGCTTCCCAGTTAGCATGCCTAGATGCAGGAGATATCCACACAAGTGTATTCGTGACCATTCTGGTCCCCTATGGAACTTAAGCAAACCACAGATCTGACAATCTGTTTATAACAACTTGTAGGCTAGGTGCCCAATGTGCTAGCAGAATCCAGTTGCTACATATGGCTATTGAGATACACTGAACTCTAAACACTGGATACAGATTGATAAGGGATCCTTAGTAGACAGCCAATCAGAGCTCCATGGACCCCCCTGGAGATACCCATTCTTGGAATCCAGGCTCTTCAAACTTGCCCAGCCTTCGCCTCTTGTTGGCTATTTTACGAGATACTCGGCCTGTGATTTTTCCCATTGAAGGGGCTTGATCTACAATGAGGGCTCAAGTTAGTAATTAGGAGTTTCTTTGAGAGCTTCTTTATTGAGACATCTTGGGATTTTTCTAAAATCCCAAATGTATAATTATTTCCAAAAGAAGCAACGCCTACTGTTATGGGGTTCAGGAATTTTGCTGTGTCCCCAAACCATGTTTCCTAAGGTGCTGCTACCCTGTGCACGAAGCCTTTCTGTAGTTAGAAATGTCCATCATAGCCTGACACCCTGAGCTAACGCGCCTAGTGAACGGCGTATCAACAGGAGTCCAGGCTGCCATGCAGAATGGCAAGGCTGTTTGTGCACAGCCTGCAGCTTGTTTTATGTCTTTTAGCACCTCAGCTTTTACAAAGAGCACACATATCTCAGAGGGCTGGCACGCATCACGAGAAGGCGGTTTTTTACAGTGCCCAGGCTTCTGAGGTTCTCCTCGCAGTCTGTGTAAGAGGCAAATACAGTTCTCCTGGTCAGGGGGAGGATTGGCTGGGCAGTGGCCAAGTCCCCATTCCACTGTAGCCCGTGTCACCCTTAGGTCACAGGCAACCATCTCTTAAAGCTGTGTAAAGCCGCTTATATTCGACAGCGTGAGTGCAAACTGTACGACCATGAAAAGCGAATGTGTGTGTGCGCTGGGATCTTAGTCTCTGTTCCCCTGTGTGTTGGGCCTCCTTCAAAATAATGTTTGTAAATGAACACAGAAGAAGGTGTGTACTCATGGATGATTTGCCAGAGGAATGTTCTCTCTGATCCCATCCACTGCTTTTCCCGGAGAAGGTGTTTACTGTGTTATTAAGAAAGAGAAGCAGTCATCATTGTCCCCTGTCTGTTTTCATTTGTCTGTTTTTTAGGCAGGGTTTCACAATGCAGCTCAGGTGGCCTAGAGCTCACTATGTAGCCCAGGCTGCCCTGAAACTTATGGCAATCCTCCTGCCTCAGTCTCCCATGCACTGGACTTATAGGCACAAACCACCATGCCCAGCTCTTCCTGCTGTATAGCCTTTACTTAGATTTCACCAATTGTTGATACGTTGTCTTTTTCTCTTAACATTTCATATACTTCCCCTCTCTTTCCTATCTCTTCTGATTTCCAATGTATGTATGTACATATGCATGTATTAATAATCAATAAACCATCCTTCTACCCATCCATCCCTTGTCGATCTATATCTATTTGATTTTCAGATAAGGTCCTCTTATATAGCCCAAGGTAGACTTGATTCTTCGACCTTTGAGTGTCTGGGATTGAACACTATTGAGATGTGTTTGTGTAAACATACATACGTACAAAATTACAAAGGCAATACAAAGATTATGTTATGAAACATTTGAGAACAATTTAACAGACCATGCTCTGTATCACTAAACTCATTTCTTTTTTTTGAGACAAAGTCTCATTGAACACAGTCTGGACTCAGATTTCGAGGATGGCCCACACAGTGCTGAGCTTACCGGTGTACACGCTGTACCCAGTTTTGTGTGGAGCTGAGGAGCAAAGCAATGGCTGTGGGCACGCTAGGCAAAGACTCTACAGACAGACTCATATCCCCAGCTTCCTCAAAACATTTAAGAACAAGGGTGTTTACATAAACAACTGCAGTAGTAGACAAGAGTCTTAATGCAAACACATCCTGCTATCTAACTACAGACCTGAAGTGAAATGTCACCTTACAGAAGAGTTGTATTTTAAGGAGCGTGGGTGGGTCACGCATCCCACCATCACCTGGGTTGGATCTGTCGCTGCTTCCTCCTGACCACATGCACTTTACCCGTTTGTATATTTCTGGCCTTCTGTGTGTTCCATCAGGAGGCTGCTGTGTCTATGTCCTCAAAGTGATTCTGCTTCCTATCGCTTGGTTGGGGTGTTGTTTGCTAAGTTTCGCTAAGTTAAAATTATTGTGCCTTTCCCTTTTACCCACGGTTTCATCTTGGAATTTAGCTACCCATAGCCATGTGGTTTGAAAACTTTAAATGAAAATTTCTGCAAGCAAACAGTTCTTAAGTTTTTTTTTTAATATTTATTTATTTATTTATTTATTATGTATACAATATTCCGTCTGTGTGTATGTCTGCAGGCCAGAAGAGGGCACCAGACCTCATTACAGATGGTTGTGAGCCACCATGTGGTTGCTGGGAATTGAACTCAGGAACTCTGGAAGAGCAGGCAATGCTCTTACCCTCAGAGCCATCTCTCCAGCCCCCAGTTCTTAAGTTTTAAGTTACTTTTGTTGTAGTATATTGTTATAATTGTTCTGTTTTATTATTATTACTATTGTCCATCTGTCACAGTGTCTAACTTAGAAGTTAAGTTTTATCATAAGTTTGTATATTTAGGAAAAAAAAACATGGTATGTTTTTCTACCCAACTTTTGGGAATGCTTTGGGATCTGGGATGTAACTCCTGTGGATAAGTGGTGACCATGAATTAGGTAGTTTACAAGGAGATATTCAAGACTATATAGACCGCCCAGTCTGCATCTGCGGTCGCCTGGTTGTCTTGGCCTGTTGTCAGCCTGTTGTGTTTGGGTGACTCACACATTGTTTCTCTGCCCAGTGGTTATCATGTGTGCCAGCGGCGACACCATCCGGAGTATCATGTTGGCGGTGCACAGACACGGCATGACGAGCGGAGATTACGCCTTCTTCAACATCGAGCTCTTCAACAGTTCTTCCTACGGTAACCGCTTCTCGCTTCTCCAGCTCTGCTCAAGTGACAGAAAGAGGAGTGAGGAAGAGTCAAAAGCTTTAGTGAGGTCCGTAGATGTGATTTCAGTTACCATGGGAACCGTATTTGATTTTGAAACTTCATGATCCTGAGCACTTCCACAGTGCCTCATAGTTTCTCAAGCTTTTCATATTTTTCCAAGAACCCAGTGGGAGCAAAAGTCACCTTGTACCGAGGGTGTCAAGGAAATTTTGTGTGGGTCAGCATAGTCCATTCCTAACTCCACAGGAACATACATGCCGGCACCAGATGTTCTTGTCAGGACAGATTGCCAGAATAATTTAGGTGTGATTTGGGATAGAATTTTAGGTAGCAGGAACAGATTAGACCTATAGGATATGAATTCTATCCTATAGGCTATAGACTAGAATATGCCAAGGTGTGCTATAGTTAGCACATAGCACATAGTTATTGCGTCATAAAATTTTAGTAATAAAATAATATGTAAATATATTGTTTATTCATATTATGTGTGTGTTTCTTATAGGCTACAATAGGAAATAGAATAATGAAATCTGCAAGTTGAGACAAAAGCATTTGGAAGTCTTTGTTCCTAACCCTCCCTTCTTGTAGCTTACTGCATGTTAATCCTTTCTTAAGTAGAATTTCATGAGTCACTGACATATAGGGTGAAGATATCTTCGATTCCTTATAATGGATTTAGGGAAACTCCCAAGGGCTGTGTAATAGAGGATTAATTTTTTTAAATAAAGTGTTTATCTGTATCTTGGTGTTTTGCCTGCATGCAGTCTGTGCATCACATGTGTGCAGTACTCAAAGAGGCCAACAGAGGGCATTGGATACCCTGGGAACTAGCGTTACAAACCCTTGTAAGTCACGCGGATGCTGGGTTTTGAATCTGGCTCCTCTGGAAGAGCAGCCAGGGCTCTTAACCACTGAGTCATGTCCCCAGCCCCCACGTAATGGAAGGAAGCTTAAGGGGCCCATTATGAGCACAAATACAAAGCCCTTTCCTCCCACTGTAGTTAGGACAGTCTCGGAAGTTGACACTTGAGGATTTTTTTTTTTTTACAAACATATACACTGACTTCTCAAGGCCACACAGCTCTTCTGAGAGCTTGCTGATGATGTATAGTTATTTAGATAGGATCCAAGCCTTTAAACATTCACTGTGGTTTCCTGCCCCCATTTCCTGGCTTACTTAAGCAGTGATCATTGTGTATATACAGATAATATAACACACTTCTGGGGAATAAAGAAAAGTTGATAGAAACAGAACTATCTGCTGCTTCCTGTAATGAATAGCCCCGGCCATGTGGTGTTTGCCGGATAAATGCAGTATTTCATGCTACACGCTACCGTTATAGTCTTTCCGTCCCTCTTTTCTGTTAAGCAGGATGTTGTTCTCACTTACTGACTTAAGTCTAGAATGTCATAATACCAGGGACTGCAACATTGAGTTCTTTAACACAGGGGTCAAAACAGGTTAAAGGGAAAACATCTACTCTGTCTTACAAGATGAAAAATGGAATTTAAGGTGATGTGTAAGAATGCATGCTATAAACAGACAAGCACATTTACATGCATTATGCACACAGTTCTAATAATAAAAGCTACTACTAGGATTCCTTTATCTACGGATAAAACTTTGCTGCTTTCCTCTGTTATTATAATAAGTGAGCATTGCTGAAACTTTGGAAAATCTATAAAAACAACTGGAAGAAAATAAGCTAAAATTCTACCACTCAGATAAAAAGTTAAATTGCAATTTCTTAGAAAGAAAAAGAAAATACATATTTTTGTCTATTATATGTATGTATATTTCGCAAGAATATTTTTCAATAAAATGATCATATTATGGTACAACTACCTAGTATATCTTCAATTAATCTCTATTTCTTAACACTACCCCAGCCTCTTGTTATTAAGAACAGCACATTGAACAGTCTGATACGTATATACACTAATAGTCACACAGTTAGACATATATATTATATAGTATAAATTCCTAGAAGTGCAAATGCTGGCTCAGTTGTTATATGTAAACATTGATAGGAATTGGCAAATTTCCTCATACAGAGGTTTTATCAATTTATATATAGTTTTGGATTATGATGAAATTTTCTGTACTGGTATATCCTTTATCAATTTTGCAAGAATATCTTCATCAGAATTTATATTTTTGTTCATAAGCAAAGTTTCTGTAGTTTAATTTTTAATCTATTATTCTAAGTGTGTGTGTGTGTACACATGCTGTTGTATGTGTGTGTATACACTTGCTGTGGTGTGTGTGTGTACACGTGCTGTGGTGTGTGTGTGTGCACGTGCTGTGGTGTGTGTGTGTGTACACGTGCTGTGGTGTGTGTGTACACGTGCTGTGGTGTGTGTACACGTGCTGTGGTGTGTGTGTACACGTGCTGTGGTGTGTGTGTGCACTTGCTGTGGGGTGTGTGTGTACACGTGCTGTGGTGTGTGTGTACACGTGCTGTGGTGTGTGTGTACACGTGCTGTGGTATGTGTGCATGTGCTGTGGTGTGTGTGTACACGTGCTGTGGTGTGTGTGTACACGTGCTATGGTGTGTGTGTACACGTGCTGTGGTGTGTGTGTGTGTACACGTGCTGTGGTGTGTGTGTACACGTGCTGTGGTGTGTGTGTGTGCATGTGCTGTGGGGTGTGTGTGTACACGTGCTGTGGTGTGTGTGTGCACTTGCTGTGGGGTGTGTGTGTACACGTGCTGTGGTGTGTGTGTACACGTGCTGTGGTGTGTGCGTGTACACGTGCTGTGGTGTGTGTGTATACACTTGCTGTGGTGTGTGTGTACACGTGCTGTGGTGTGTGTGTGCACTTGCTGTGGGGTGTGTGTATACACGTGCTGTGGGGTGTGTGTGTACACGTGCTGTGGTGTGTGTGTACACGTGCTGTGGTGTGTGTGTACACGTGCTGTGGTGTGTGTGTGTACACGTGCTGTGGTGTGTGTACACGTGCTGTGGTGTGTGTGTGTGTACACGTGCTGTGGTGTGTGTGTACACGTGCTGTGGTGTGTGTGTGTACACGTGCTGTGGTGTGTGTGTGTACACGTGCTGTGGTGTGTGTGTGTACACGTGCTGAGGTGTGTGTGTACACGTGCTGTGGTGTGTGTGTACACGTGCTGTGGTGTGTGTGTGTACACGTGCTGTGGTGTGTGTGTACACGTGCTGTGGTGTGTGTGTGTGTACACGTGCTGTGGTGTGTGTGTACACGTGCTGTGGTGTGTGTGTGTGCATGTGCTGTGGGGTGTGTGTGTACACGTGCTGTGGTGTGTGTGTGTGTGTGCACGTGCTGTGGTGTGCATGTGGAGCTCAGAAGACAGTTTTATGGAGTTGTTTCTCCTTGTGTGTGTTCTGGGGACTTATTTTTTTGAGACAGAGTCTCTCAAGTATCCCTGGTTATCCTGGAACTCTCTATGTAGAGCAGGCTGGCCTTGAACCCACAGAGATCCGCTGACTCTCTCCCAGGTGCTGCATTAAAGTGTATGATACTATGCCTGGGCAAACTGACTGCTTTAGCTTGAGCAACTAGTGACTTTTAGACTTAGAGAAAACTTGCAAAAATCATAGACGTCATGCATATCTTTATATTTAAATTACATATTTATACATTAAAACCTTAGTCTGTGGATTCAAGTTTTTGTTATCTCTTTAATTTTTTTTGTTTCAGATTCACGTCTTTAATGTTATGTGTGCGGGTGTGTGCCTGGTACGTGTGCAGGTGCCCACAGAGGGCAGAAGGCATCTGGTTGTGAGCCACCCTGTGGTGCTGCGAGCCAAGCTCAGGTCCTCCGCAAGAGCAGCCAGTGCTCTTCACTGCCATCTCTTTACCTCCAGTTTTGCCTTCTTTAATTGCAAAATGATTTCACACAAATCACAATGAATTCTCGATGTTTCTGATTAAATCTGCATTATTTTACATTTTACCGTACATTTGCTCAGACTTTGAGTTCTGATCTCAGTCAGCCTGAGAGACTGACCCCTATACTGTCTTTCTACTAAGACTTAAGAGTCAACAGCTTAACTTGATCTTTGAACAGTGAGTTAACCTGCCCTCCCTTGCAGCCTTAGTCTGTTCGAATGATACACCAGGCTGAGGAACAAGTCAACACAGGAGAGAATATATGTTAAATGTCCCCCATCTTGGAAGCATAATGACTATTAAACAAATATTTGCCACTCTGATTGTTAGTCTTAGTTCGCTTGGACCACTGCGCATGGGACTTTAAAAACTGTACAGCTTTTGAACTTTTCTCTGATGCTAGTTTTATTTCATGTGATACATTCTGCTGCTGCGGCCACCCACTCTCAGTTCATCCACCCTACGGGGCTGCATGCATTATGAATCACACCTGCGAGCGATTAGTCCCTCAACTGGAGTGGCACAGATGTAGAGGATTCTTTGACCTGAAAGAGCTCTGGAGGAGGGAGGTTCATGCTAGGGATCTGTCAAGAAGGTCATTACTGTTAAAAGCTTCTTACGTTTCCTGTGTCCCTTTTCAATTATGGAAGATTGTGGCCGGGGCTGCAGGGGCGTGGCTTAATGCTAGTCAAGCTAGGTCAAGGACAGCAGATGTGAGATCCTTCCAGGTGACTCTGCTCTCTTTGTTGGTTTTTTATCCAGGGGTAGCCAATCCCAAACAACCGGAATAGCTTCCTGTTGTTTGAGAATAGCTACCCCTGGATAAAAAACCAGGTCAAAAACTGCGTTTTCAGTTGGACTCCCCAATATCAAAACCAGTGTGAGATTCTGGAAGTGGGGAGGGATGGTGGGTGTTGTGTGGCGCCTTTCTGTGTCTTCCACAGACCCTGAAGTGTCTTCTACCTCAGAGCATGAGCGACCAATGGAAACATACAGTGGACAGACTCACCTGAACCAGCATTCCAGAGTATCATTATGAGGGTCTTCTTTGATAATTTAACCCCCCATAATCAGAGTTGTAATTCCAAAAGTTTCTACCATC